CAAAACAATATTGGAGAAATATTACTGAAAATGATTTAAATGGTCCATTAGTAATATCAATGGAAAATCAACAAAATTATTTATTAATTTTTTGCTGGAAATTTTGTCTAATCGTATTATTTTATCATTTTTTTCGTTCAAATTTATTTACAAAAATCAAAGATCATGTTCGTTCAATGTGGAATGAATGGGCACAAACTGTTCAACATCATGAACATACTGATTAATTGCTGATCAATCGAATGATTTGATTGATCTTTGATCTGTTGATTGATTGATTGATTGATTCGAGGGAAAATCTCAAAACTTGATCAATTTGATCTTTTCAATCATATTGTGATTATCAATCGATGTTTTTTTTCATAAATAATCATCATAATTTGTTGTTGTAAATAAATAAATAAAAGAAGAAATTTTCTGTCCAGAAAAAAACAAAACAAAACTTATCATTTCCCCAATTATTATTGCACTTTAAAAAAATAGATCATTTGATTTTTGATTTTTGATTTTTTTTGGGTTATCCTTTTTGATAATTTTTCATGTAAACAAGTGTGATTCATTTCAAATCGAATCGAATGATTAGGATTCACCAAAAAAATAAAATCGATCAATTTTGGACATTGGACATTGGACATTGTCAAGTGAGAAAATGAAAAATCGCGATAAAGCCAATTTTCAAAAAATTCGTGAAAATCGAATGTTTGGCCCATTTTTTCCATGCTGCCATCTTTTGACCGTTTTGGATCCAAAAAAAAAATGTTTTCCATGTTTTTTGTTTTTGGTGAGCTCATCTTTTCCTTCCAACTTGAGTTCAATGTTTGTAAATATAAAATTCATTTTGGGTTCAAATTATCATCTGGTTTTCTGTTTTTTTTTGTTTGATTCAATCATTTTCGCGGTTCTAATTTTGTTGTTGTCTTCGACATTTTTGAAATGATTTAAAAGATTTTTTCGTTTGTTTGTTTGTATCGATAACCACCGAGAATCACAAATGGAACTTGAATGAATTCTTAATGAATCAAAACCGAACGAAAAAAAATTGAAAACAAAACAAAACAATCAAAAATGAATTGCCAGAAATTGTTTCAGGATTTTAATTCCAGGTAAATGTCCATTATAAGCATATTCTTGTCATTTCGAACATTTCATTGATTTCTTTTCTTGCTTTACAGTAAATTTGTCGTCTATACATCATTGTTAATATTTTCAATATTATTTGCA